GTCTTTGACATGGTATTTTGATTTTCCCAAACATGCTGAAAACCAAGATTACCTAATAACACTTTTATTTTACTACAAAAAACATTAGACAGGTTTTTGAATATGTTTCACCAAGATGAAATGCTTTTGATTTATACACTTATTAAAAAGAATAAAATACTCCATAGAGACTTGTAAAAAGCAAGAAGAGATACTTCTGCCAACACCAACTCAATTTTTTAGCATTTTAAGTGCCATCACTGCCCCTGTCAATTTTTGAAAGAAAAATGCAGCATGGGGTTAAAAGATCTCTTTATAATGTATACATACTTTTTTCAGGTTGAATTTAATTGAATAACGCAAAAAATTATATTATTTTATACTTTCAAATTTGTTGACCAAATACAGAGGAAACATTCATATCAGCTTAAGCTAGAAGTTATCTGCATATCTACATGCACGTTATAATAAAATTTGACTAGGTGTTGCAAGAACAGCCAAACTTCCTCTCACTGTGAGACTATTGTTGTATAAGAGACAAAAAATACATGCAAATCTGATGAAAAGTAAATGCTGTTCATCAAAATTCATGAAAATATTGTTTAGACCCAAATTTTGTCTTTTTTTTCTGAAAAATAAAGGGAAATAATCTATAATATATATATATATATGTTATATTAAAAGTCTTATTTCAATGGTGACAGTCATGGCAACCAAATTTTTTGTTCATTTCATGAAGTCACAAGTGTGAAATCATACACAGAAGAAATAGTTCTGTAAGTTTTCATGAAACATTTGAGCTTGACATAATTTTAAGTGCATTTTATTAGAATTCTAAGTAAAAAAGTCCTTCAAACTTTATTCAGGATGTGAGTGAGGTGGCTTAGTTGGTCAATATACTCCTTCAAAACAATGTTAAATACTCTCAAATTTCATAAGAATCCATCAACTAAAATAAATAGATAAAAACTGTGGCTGATAATTGACAATACACTCCTACTAAAAATAAACAACCACATAAATATGCAATAACTACTAAAAACAATCTGCTTCTCATTTAAAAAAAAAAAATTTAATTTACCAATGATGATGTGTTGTTAGCACACTGGTAAGAGTCACTCCAGCATCGTCCACTGCCTTTAGTACCTATAATACCATACATTATTTGTTTATATTCAAGAAATACATTATTTCAAAAGGAAATATTTTTCTTTCAATTTGTAAAAGAAATTTTGGTTTTATTAACATAATCAAAATCAAAATTGAAATTGAAAATATAAAAAATTAACCAATCTTGATTCTCAAAAATCTTTTCTGAAAAATTTAGAAATTTATAGAGCTCATAACTTATATCAGTTATCTTTCTGAATGTGTATATTTTCTCTAACAAGTGAGTGCTTGTTTGGCAGCTGTTTTGAGTTTCACATCAACAGATCATATGGAATACTTTCATATTTAAAAGTTTCTGCAGTTTTGATTTTTTTCTTGTTTTATTATATTCAAACCTGTTGTTATTCTTTATCAATGAAATCAATTTGATTTTCATGAAAGATACAATTCATTCATTTCCACTGGCCAAATTTAATTGAGAATATGGATAGTGTTCAAGTTAAGCCTGCAACCTTTTTGCAGATGTCTTTTGAAACTTAGTTAAGTACTGTTTTAATTATTGAATTTCTACCAAGTTGCCAGGAATACTATTTACTTATCATGCTTATTGTGTCTATATTACATCAGAAGCCTGTATTCTGGTGAATGTCTTCTTGGTTTTTTTTTTGTCATATCATTTACCTCCTCTTAATTTTGTTACCAGGGTCCTACTATATGTTCAGAATATGTTGGTGTCCTATGTTAATGGTTTGCCATGACCTATCTATATGTTGTACAAAAATTTCTGATCCTTTCGTTTATGAAGGATACTATCATATTTGTCTCACTAGCAAATATACTAAAATTACTTCTACATAGATCATGAAGCACAGATCCTTTGAGTCTTTGACATATATTAAATGTAAATTTAAATAAATGATAAAAACCAGATGAAAGTAACGCTGTAATCCATCTAAGGTCAACTCTGCCTGATTCAAAGTTCACCTTTTCTGGTTCTACAGGATCAACAGCAGCACATTGTTTTGTTTCTTCATCAATCAGCAGATACATGTAGTTATCTTCAAGAGCAGGAAGTAACTGAATCTTCATGTCTGTAAACTTGGTAATCTGTGGTTTACTGTGACAAAATCTTCCAGATTCTGAATAATTACAAAATAATTACATGTTAGTCATACTATATACTTCAAATAATAGCTATTTGTTTCAAACAGAAAAAAATTAACAAACAAAAAATTCAACCCTATTGCATCGATCATGAATTAAAACAACATATATGAGGGTCTGGATGGGGTTTACAGATTAGAGAATAGTGGGGAAAAAGTGTAGAAAAAAGGGCACAAAAACTAAAAAATAGAGAAAGATAGGCAAAAAAAAAGAAAAGAAAAGAGAACAATGGGGTGTTAAAATATAAAGAATAGAGAAAAATGGGCAAAACAAATAAAGAATAGAGAAAAATGGTATAAAAATTTAAAGAATAAAGAAATGAAGGACCCCCATCCAGACCTTAATATATCCTTTCTTACAAGTTTTCTTAGAGGCTTAACCATTTGTATTTTAATAATTTGACATTATGCGCGTCTTTCAACATAGCTAAATATATTTAAATATACACAAAACGTTCATAGTATATATCAACAGATGAAGTATTCACTGGAAAAAGTAAAATCCATGGAAACGTCGCCATGCGACATCCTCAAAAAGTAAACTTTTAAAAATGAGCAATAAAATTTTGTTACCATAGTTACGGGCATCCATTTCTTAAAAAAAGAATAGTAAGCGTGGACCTTTGCCAATTGTTAAGAAATAAAACAAAACATCAGTTATTTGATTTTTACGGATGTGAATTTAAACAATTGGGTACTCTTTATTACAGAATCATGGATTGTTTGTTTCAAACCCATTTTTCTATGATTCAATATTGATGCAAGATTAAATTGGTGGAACTATTCAGTAAATAAGGATACATCTACAACATAAACACAGATTTGAATCTTTTGTCTTGATCATAAATATAATTAGGTGACAAAACTGTCAAAATATGAGCAATTTGGGTACCCTCACGTTAGCAATTTAAATGTTTTGTCAGGGAATATGTTGAAAAATTAAAGATAAATATTTTTACAAAGAAGGTTAGCTGTTAAAAGATTTTCATCTATTTTTAACAATTGAAAGAATAGATCGTCTTGATTTTTGTACATACTTTTGCGGTCTTCTCGATGTATTACAATATAAAATGATCCCAGAATATACCAAACAGGCAAGTGTAGATTTTAACTCTTGTAAATTTTAACAGCAGTGCCATGGATATTCTGTGTTTAACCGGTTGTTGTTACGCATAAGAATAAGAATAAGAATTTTATTAGTTTAAAATCCAAACAATAGGATTGTTACTAAAGAAAAACATATAAATAACAGAACAACAGACAGAAAACAATACAAACATGTAGCATTGAAAAAAAAAGAAAAATGTTAATACGATGCAGTCTGGTAAATCCACCCACATAAGGCTTTGATTGCATGCATTTTTGCTTAATTATATATAAATTGTATCAAATTTAATATAAATCACTTCACTGACAAATCAATTTAGAGAAGTTTATCTCAATTCCCAAAAAATATCTGAAATAAATTTTAACAAAACAAGTGGGTCATCTGTGTTTTTATCGGAAATATGTTTGTCCGGTAAACCCGCCCATGGGAAGTAAATATGTATGGAGGGCCAGTTTATCACATTTTTATGAAAGGAAAAGGTGATCTATTAATAGACCACTTATATGTATAAAGGGATTCCAGAAATTTGAAAAAAAATAAATTACAAGTCAGAAACAAGTTTTGTGAGCAATAATATATGATTATTGTTAGCTTTAGGAACTGTATTATATCTATCACTAGATATTTTCGTGATGAAGAATTTTTCTTTAAAATTTGACATACAGTAATGATAAGTACAGTTCCTATGAATAAAATGGCAGATGAAATATTTACGGAGGTGACAATTACAGAAGTAAATGGGAGTTGGCGGGTTTACCGGACGGGCAGCATTACCGGACACTACTGTACATATTTTTGAACATATTTCTGGCACTTTAAATTTCTAGGAGTTAAGGTTCTCAGGGTATTACCTCAAACTCTATGGGAATTCACAATTTTTAACTCCAATTTACAAGGATTTGTTCCCGCTTCAACTCCAATATTTAAATAGATAAACACCATCTAATTATCTGATTGGTCAATCTTCAGCTGTGATGCAAGTGTAACGGGATAGCATGATTCTACATACAAAATCATCTTTGTCTCCTCCAGGACTCTAACCAGGGACCGCTGCATTAACCGACTGAGCTAAAGTAGTACTTCCTTAGCTCAACCTCTTACAGCTGACTAAGTATCTACTAATGAAGGGAAGCAATCCCATCACACTTCCCCCACTTCAAGAGTCATCATACCATTATGACTCTGACACACATACCCTAGCTAGAATTCCTCTCTAACAAACCGTGGGTTTTTAGTTGGGCGCCAAGAGATCAGATGATTCTAAAACATTATCTTTGTCTCCTCTGGGATTCGAACCCAGGACCTCTGTGTTACAAGGCAGCGAATTAACCGACTGAGCTAAAAAAGTACTTCCTTAGCGCAACCGCTTATGGCTGACTAAATATCTACTAATGAAGGGAAGCAATCTTCACACTAGCATGAAATAATAATGTATTTATTACAATACTTTTTTTGACAACATGCCTCCTCCATAAAGTTAACATATGTTCAATGTATAATTCAATGTCTTATGGTTCATTAATGAATTTTCATGTACCAGAATTGACAGCCTGTAAAACTTTCTTGATCACTGTAAGCCGTCGAGCAAACATTCGTAATATTATCGTCCTAAATTATGACCAATCAGTGTTTGCCCGGATTCGATTTCGTAAATTAGAGAATAAAAATGAACGAGGACGAGATCAACGATTTTGAAACTGAATTTAAATTTGGTAAAGATTCTACAGATATAGTCTTTTCAGTAGACAGTCTAAAAGTAAACTCGCTGTCCAAAACTTAGCAATAAAAATTGAAAAATACGAAGACTTTAAATTTTGACAGAAAAACTCAAAATGCGCTTGACAACAATGTAAACAACATACCTTGAACAAAGTTTATACACATTCCTTCTTTTTTCTTCGTATATCCTTTCAATCAGAAACAACGGTCACTTTTCACTTGTATAATTGAACTTTTGGTTAATATATACAGCAGATAACTAAAATTATGAAAAGGTTGACATTCCTACCTCCATCATTTCAGCCATTTGTCCATGTACAACTGTTCAAAACAGAGTGAGATTGTAACAGTACCCTGATTGTGATATCAAGACTCAAAAAATCAAAAAGAATTAGAGAACAGATGTTTATTACCAGGGAACTCTATTTTATATAATATAGAACTACTTATATAGATAACAATAAGAGACTATGATATTGAGATTACATTCTTCAGAGAATAAAATTACACTATATCCTCGTGTATTGTATTTTCGACCTATTAACATATTTCTCTGAATTTCCCTTTTATATGTTTGAACATAGACATGCCTAATATTTTGAGAGTCACTAGTATACTTGTGCATAAAATAATTGTATCTGAAATCATGGAAATATATTTTGATTTTAAATATTTTTTTTTATTTGAGTTCATTAGATCGATGGCACGTTGTTGACAAAAAATAGCGTCTTGTGTTTTCGACCTATCTAAGAAACTGTTCCAAAGTCGGAAGGGACATGTCATACAAATCTGGAATTGGTTATAATTTGATCATGTTGATGCCAATGTCTATTTCAAATTATTTAAATTGTTAGGTGGCGATCAAATTTATGACTTAATGAATTAAATGGTTACATATACAACTTTAAGATAAAAAATATTATTTTGATATCTTTATTTTTCATTAGTTGTACACATTTCACATGAGGCACTTTGGAAGCAAGTTTGATCTTGTATACAGTCATTTTTTTGTTCAAATTTTAGTGAAGGCATTGTGGAGTGAGTATTGTCTGTATTTCACTGACAGACTGTTGTTTCTGTAAATTAAAATTAATCGATATTTTATTTTTTTAGTAAAAAGCTGTAAGGATCATTCAGATTTCTGTATTAAAAATAACTTTAAGTATTACAACTAACCACCTGACAGTCATGTGACTTAATGACCAGGATGTAAACTTCACGTGCAAAAAGTCCCCCTGCCATATTTCTATAATATTTGTTTATTTTTTATAGATTCTTTTTGAAGGTAAAAATAGTATTAGTAAAAGGGTACAAAAATGTGATATCAAATAATAAAACGTACATACTTAATTACCTTAACTTTACTTGGAACATCTTAACCACCACGTGGTATTATTTGATATTGTTACTTACTATAGCAGCCGAATATGATGTCACGCGGACATGCGCAGCATACAGGAAGTGAATGTAGAATGTGGTCGAAAACATAAGACAGTCGAAAACACACTACGAGATGATAGAAACCGATCGATGTAATCGCGGGAATATGTCAGTGAATCGTCAACTTACAAATATCACCAAAACATTAACAATGATAAAAATAGCATTATTTTAAGTTCAAAATTCTGATATTTGTTACATAATAAATTAAATTAAATTACATTTAAAGTTTTAAGTCTTTATTATCAACAAAAGCAGTATTGCACCATATAGATTAGAGTTTTCAGGTAATATCTATCAGTTCTCAGGTTTTTATTGAGTTTTTTGGGAGTTTTCTGGAAATCCTTGTACCCCAATTTTAACAGTATCTATTCTGGCAGAGTACTTACTCTCTCCTTTTGAAAGAAATATGCTAGTGTAAAAATTCCTTGACATATTATTCCTAGGATTTGATTTCTTTTATTTTGATATTTTATTTTTGAAATTATTAGTTATTTGAAGTTACTGTATACCATTATTGCATAGATTTTTTGAAAACTGAAGATTACTGTTTTTTATCAGAAATAAAAGAAATATACAATTTATTTATATTGTTTATATTTGTTGATATATTTTAGAAGAACCAAAGCCAGGCAGATTAACATTTCATTTGATAGCTAAGAGAAACTTACCATTAGGATATGATGAAAATGACCATGATCAAGTGTAAGTTCTGTGCTGTAGAAATAAAGAAATTTAGGATTAACAGTATGAGTGATGGTAAAACTTGTAGATATTAAATTCCTTGACTTGATTCATGGTGGCTTTGACTTAAGATGAATAGACACTAAAGTTAGTATAATTATTTTATAATTTTTCTCTAATTTTCTTAAAAAAGGTAAGAGTTGAACTCTGTGGATGCTAAGAAGACAATCAAAAACCATAAGTTGAAGAACAACAGGCAATCATATAAAGAAAGAGAGTTTAATATATATAAGCATTAAAATTCAGTTGAAAAATATAGATTACCTGAATTGTTTTGGAGAGAAATGGGGTTTCTATCTACATATATTATATAATGCAATTTATTCTTTTGAAAATAAAACAAATCTTATCTACAGTGATTCATCACTTTATGGAAGTAAATTAGTGAGATTAATCTCTTTAAACTTGCTATTTATCAAATTTGTAAATTGTATCTAGATAATTTGCAGAAATAACCAGTTTAATTATCTCCACTTGAATTTAACATAATTTTTTAGAAGTTGTCTCCCATTACAAAAAAAAATCACAGATTATTTTGTTCATAGACAAATCTAAGACTTTGTGGTTTATTTCTTAAAAAAAGAAAAAGACAAATATTTTTAAGAAAGTACAAATTTCTAAGAAAATAATAGTAAACTAAATAAGTGTAAATTTGGAAACTTATATAATTTACAAAACAGGCAAATTTTTTTCAACATTGAACATAGTTGCTGGCTTGATTTAGACAGTGTCTATCTACCTTGAAATTAGGACAATGCTTTTCATATATAAGAGCCATTTGTGTTTTCATGTATATATTTTGAAACACTAGTGAAAGCACAAGACAGGAAAAACTGAGTCATCTGATCTGAACATATTTATGGAAAAGTTATCTCTGGTGGCAAAATGTATTATGGGATACCATGCCTGTCTGTCCGTCTGTCAACACTTCATAAGATAACTCAAATGTGCTTTAACCAATTCTCATATAACTTTAACACAACATTAGAATTAATGGGCCGTAGAAAGCTCCCTTGTGAGTTTTTTTGTTTTTCCAGTTTGTTTCTTCAAAGTTATGGGACTTTAATCATCAGATTTTAATAAAATTTAACACATTTGGAACCATAACTTAAGTCTGTTTGGATTGATTCAGTGGAAACTACATAATTGTTGGAATTAGTGAACATGAAAAACTGTTCAATTTAAAGAAAGATATCCTCAGGCATGTTTTTCTACAGAGCTATTTTATTTGCTTATGCTTAAATGCCATCTAAATTTCACATTTTATTCTTGCAACAATTTTTATATGCACAATAAGGGTGTAGCATGTGCTCTTGGCACAGCTGTTTAATAGTATTGTATAATATCTTTTATATTCAGTCTTTTAGGTAAATAATTTTGTTATTTAATGTATATTTTAGATTGAAAGAACTGAACGCAATTTCACACATTAGATTAGACAGAGCAAATATTGGCCAAATTGATAGCTTTGAACTCTTGGGACCAAAAGTCACCAACCTCTATCTGCAAGTGGTAAATAATTAGGTTGCTTTAACTTATATTTCTTGTCATCATATTTCATATCATATAAGTAATACAGACTATTGCAATCAACTGGTACAATTACAATTCTGGAAGCTTTTACTTTTCATCCTGTCAAACAGATTTAGTCATCTATTGAAAAAATATTCATTTCCTATTTTAACATAGAATTTGTTGACTTAACTTTCAATGACCTATATTTGAAAAAGGAGTTGATTTCTCTGTTGGTGTATATAGATTTATTTTGGTTTTGAAAAGATATCACAGGGTTTGTTTTTTATTATTTTGGAAGGAAACAACCAGAATGAAAAAAGTCATTATGTATGAATATTTATTTATATACTGTATTTAAAGAATATGTGTCCATATGACTCATGCCCTGCTCACACAATCCTATGTCCATGTTTAGTGTTCCCTAAAAATGAGGTCAAAATCGTAATTTGTCGTCTGATTTAAAAATGTCATTTCACAACAAACCCTTCCTAACATAGGCAGGGCTTAAAAATATTTTAGTATTGATTCATATTCATTAAAGCTTAGACTTTTTAAGTGATATACTAACAAACAAATCATTAGTTTTCCATTGCAGTCCAGTGCCCTGTAAACACAATTCAAAGACTATAGGTCTTGAAATATTAATGAAATGGATAACTTTAACTTTACTCTCATGATAATTTTTTTAAGAAGAAACCATACATTTAATCATTTCCAAAGTTAAACTGATAATGTTCCTGTGAAAGAGAAAGACAAATTGGGATAATTTTCTATTTCTGATCAATATCCTTAAGCCACACTGATTTGATGGGCCTTTTTTGTGATTTTGTAAAATTTCTAAATTTCCTTTGTTTTACAACAACTTTTAAGTATACATTAGATTGGGAAAGTATGTGTGCACCCAAGAAACAACTCTATATTGGTGAGATTATGTCAATAGTTATATAGAAGCTTAATTCTCTTATATTATTTTGTTGTTTCTTGGATGCACAGTGTTTCCACAAAAGAAACAAGGATGGAGAACTGCATAACTTCTTCAGTTTTCTTTATTTTCATGGAAACGGTTCATATTATGATGTATTTGTTATGTCATAACCTCAAAATTCATTTTTATTTCTTGTTTTTATGCATTTCCAAACATTATGTACAGATTTGAAACAGTTCTCGTATACTTTATTTTCTTTGGCTTTAATGCCCCTACTCCTTTGTAGAAAAAAAAATGATTATACAAAATGAAAATATGGAGTCCAGAAATCTCATTGACATAAGTATATCATATCCACATAAAAAAATGGCACTTATTCTACCCAAAAGAATGGTTTAATTTGACTTTTTGTTATATGTTTACAGAACCTGATAGAAAAGATAGAGAACCTGGAATGTCTGAAGAATCTGACATTTTTGACACTTGCTGATAACAGAATAAGGAGGGTTGAAAATCTCAACTGTTTACCAAAACTGCATTTCTTGGACTTGTCTCATAACTGTGTCTCACAGCAGAATTTTGATATAGGTAGATAAGTATTAATATCAGGTTATCTATATATTATGAGTGCAGCCATCAAATTCTAATGAAATGCTTCATATCGTTTTAAACAGCTGATAAGCTGATAAGATAGGTAATTTAGTTTTATAAATGTAGAGGTAAAGATAGCAGACACAAATAATATAAAGTTTTTTTCCTATTGAAGGCAGCAAACAAGTCACAAAGTTTAATAAAATATGTGTACAGTGTATATACTGTCTATTTGCCATATTTGTTTGAGTGTTTTCATAATTCGTATGATGTTTTTTTTAATGATTTTGAAAAGCTTGTTGAGATAATGTCAGGTCAAATTTGATGAAATTGTCACATTAAAAATTTAGGATGTAGTTGATAAATCCAGGTTAATTTTTATATCATAATGAATTAGCATACTTTCCCTTACATGTCACATTTCTTTCCCATAGTTCTTAGGGAAAAATATATGTACCAAACTACTAAATGTGAACCCAGACTTTTGAATGAAGCCCCGGTAACTTTATCGGAAGTTTCGTGATAGAATTGATTGATAGGAATTTTTTAGATGTATTTATCTATATTACATGATCTTCTGACAAGATAATGGATATGTAGAATGTTTGTTACCAGAAGCAGGCTTCCAAATCCTCTTTAAAACATTGACTAAAAAAAAATATTTATCTGATATTTGATATGTGGCATATCGATGTTCTGAAATATTGAAATCATTGTTTATTATCTGTTTATTTTCTACAGATGAATTTCCACAGAGTCTGATTATTTTAAATTTAAAAGGGAATCCATGTTGTAATCATCCAGATCACAGGTAAAATTTATTTTTCATTGAACATTTAAATTTGTGGTTTACATAAATCCATGAAAATGGGTACGCCATGAGTAATAATGAATTCACAGTACATCAAAAACATTAACTTACAGGATTTGGCAACAAGCTGTGAAAGATTTGATACTGTTTAGCTCCCTCCAAAAGATGCATTAAGACTGAAATTTATCAGAAGTTATACACATTTACATATTACATTAGTTTTTGTGAAAATGGCAAATGTCAAATGTTTTTAAAAAGAATAGTTATATTTTCACAAGTGAATTGGGAATGTTGAGTAGGACAAATAAAGGAATTGAGAAGAAACCCAGAAAAGTATTAACTTGTCATTTAACCCTTTATTTTGAAATTAATCATAAAAAAATAAATATTTTTTTTCCATACGAGGTAAAAATAAGAAAGACTTAGGTGTGCATCAACAATGTATTAGTTTGTGATTAGGCCAGTGTAAGGGGAATCATTAGTTGTAGGTCAATGAAAATTGGTATGTTGATGTATTAGCATTGACACATCCCATTTCCATGAAATTATTTTGCTCAGCCCCTTCAGTCATGGTCTATTGACTTTGAATGTTTTTCATAGTTTACATGTTTAAATATTGCCATTTAAAATCAACATTTGCATTATATATTCAAAATAACAAAAAAAGTGAGACATATCCCTGTGTCATCAGTTTATTTTATGTAAGAGTAAACATTCAATAATTGAATGCTTTTTTTTATTATTTTATTGGGGTATAAAAGCATTGACAGAATCACATTTTTTATGAAGAACAGAAGCGCTAATCTTAAAATGGGCGCACGATCAACGCTTTTACATCCCAATAAGTGTCAAGCTTTGTTTTTCTATGCATAGTTTTAACATTGTTACATGCAGTTATAGCTGTTGTACAGAAATACAATATGATATTGAAGTGCCTCACGATTGTTGTCAGCCAATCAAAAATTACGGATTCTGATGAAACATACATGTAATGTAATTATATTTTATTAAGGAAGATTTCAAATAGTTCATGCAATATAGCAGAATTCAGAACTAATAAACAAAAGACCAATGGAATATTGCAAGAAGGTAATCATGTAGAGTCTTATATAAATCTATCTGTAATCTTAGAGAACATAGTACCATAATTAAATGGTTTAGAAGGTATACAAAACAATATACAAATTAAGCAAATTGCAGAAAAGCCCTTTTAGTAAGTTATAGCATACCGATACCTAACAAAACATGTTTGATTTATTTTGTATTTACATTGTATCATAGGTCAAATTTATTTGTTCAGTGTATGTTCACTGGTGTTAATATGTCCTTTGATTGAGTTAAGCCATTTCAGTTGATATTTTATAGTGTGTCTTTCTATGTTGTGGTGTTACACTATTGTTTCCGAAAAAGGGTGAAGGTTTGGTACCATTAAAACGTTTAAACCCGCTGCAATTGTTTGCACCTGTCCTAAGTCAGGAATCTGATGTTCAGTAGTTGTGGTTTGTTGATGTGGTTCATAAGTGTTTCTCGTTTTTTATATAGATTAGACCGTTGGTTTTCCCGTCTGAATGTTTTACACTAGTAATTTTTGGGGCCCTTTATAGCTTGCTGTTTGGTGTGAGCCAAGGCTCCGTGTTGAAGACTGTACTTTGACCTATAATGGTTTACTTTTATAAATTTTGACTTGGATGGAGAGTTGTCTCATTGGCACTCATACCACATCTTCTCATATCTATTGATACCGCCACATTTTCGAGCCTGTCCTAAGTCAGCCTTTGTTAGTCTTATGTGGTTTTTAATTTTGGTTCATTTGTATGTTTCAGAGTTTAGTGTGGCGTCCAATTCACTCAACTATTATACATTATTGTTAAGTGGGCAGCTGAAGTCTGCCTCTGAGTTCAGGATTTTCTCGCTGCGTTGAATACCCATTGGTGTCCTTGAGCTGTTTTCTGCTCTTTGGTTGGGTTGTTGTCTCTTTGACACATTCCCCATTTCCATTCTCAGTTCTTCTGTAAATAGATTATTCATTATCATATTGTTCTAAAGAATAGAATTTACCACTTGCAAGATAGAGTGGTGTTTGCAATAAAACAATGACTTGTAAAATGTTTTCTAGATTCTCAGGCATTAATGACGTCTTAAAGTTATACATGAGTAATTACATTGTCTTTAAAGACCATAAAACTCTGTTTCAGAGGAAGAATAATTCAAGAACTGGTTAATCTTAGACAACTTGATGAAGTGGAAATTTCAGCTAAAGAGAAAAGAGAAGTAGGATTGGAGGCCAGTAGTGATGATGATGATGAAGAAGAAGAGGAAGATGAACTAGTTTCATCAAATAAAAAGCCTCAAGAAAAAGGTATATATTCTCAAAATGAGTAACTATGTATTTAAAAGATGGATATAGAGTTTAATTGATATGATATTCCAGAGCTTGTTGTTCCTATCATAATTTTTTCACCAATGATGGCAGCACACTTACTATATGTATAAAGCTTTATATCTGGAAAAAGTCCTTCATAAGAGTAAGAAATTCAATAAAAAAGAAAATCAATATACAAGTGAATCCAGAATCGTTATTTTTTTTTACAACATTTGCACTTGTGCATTACCCTGTTGACAGAGGCTGTGATATTGTAAAGCATTCAATTTACAACAAATTCTTATATCTAATTGCCAAAAAGAATTATGAAAATATTACAGACTTCATCTAATTTCATGGTAACACTTGCCTCATATTAATTCAGAAGGTAGAAGACCTGGATACTTCTTACTATATTTGGTGTATGGAATTATTGTTAAAGTGTACATGTCCATCTGGCAGGTTTATCCATCCTTTACCTTGATTCATTAGTCAAACTAAAGTTTTTGTGGTTATATCAGTTTCTCAGATACTACAAGCAATAGGTCAACTATAAATGGTGTACAGAATGATTGTAAGGTGTAGATTTTCATCTGTTTGGGTGAATCTGACCTTGACCTCATTTTTATCATTGGTCAACGTTAAGCTTTCATGGATAAGTCTGTTTCTCAGATACTATAAGTAACATGGCAACTATATTTGGTGTATAGAATGGTTGTAGGTATATATTTACATGTCATTCCAGTCCAGTTCATCTGACCATGACCTCATTTTCATTGATCATTGATAATGTTTGGTTTTTGTGATACCTTTGAATGTAAAAACCTTTATCTTAAAGACTTTCAAAATAAAATTCAATCATGATCTGTATAGCAGGACAGACATTTCAACACTCTTGTTTAATTGAGGGTTCTGACTTACAAGGAAATTTCTAAACCAAATGTTCTAATTATTATTTTTGTTTTACAGCATAATTTATCCAGGTAACTCAATGTTTATATGATTGAACAAACCCAAAGATGTAACATTTAACAAATATTGTTATCTTCTGATCATTGTTAATATATTAAATCATTTTTTTGGAACTCATCTGTGGTTTTTGATAAATTTAGATTTGACAAAAGATTTCTTTTAAACCTTTTTATTTGTTTGTATTGTAATATGATTTAATAACTACTCTAATCATGAAATATTTTATGTTGAGACACAATTTCATTGCATAGTTTTCTATTTCATCCAGATCAAAATTTTAAAACAGCAGGTCCACAACCTTATGTTCTATAGAGAAAGTTTTATTCAGAAGTGATTTATAATTGTTGCTACAGCTTGATACTTTGGGGCAACATTATTTAATAGCAATTTATATTTATTAAACATTTGTATCAGAAGTAAAGCTTACTGGTTTACTTTTAGAGTCTCTTCAATCTTTTTCAACTGAGATTTTAATGAGGTCACAGAGACGTATGGAACAAGGCTTAAAGGATCACAATTCTCATACAGCTGAACTGGATCAGATACGTGAACGAACTCATTTACCACTGTCAAGTCGCAGAGCTCAAAAGTCTTGATCAATGGAGAATGTTATACTAAATGCATTATATGCCTTCAATAAATGCTATGATATCAGGATATTATACTGTTTTAGAGGTGTCTCGTAAACAGGAGTTTAACTGATGTTTCATATGTGACAGTGAAAACTGCTCTTCAAAAGAGGATATATACTTAGCAAAACAAAATATAAAGTGATATAAATAAATAGAGACCAATGTCAAAGAGTACCGTAGATAATTTTTACCGGTGATTGCTGTCTATATAAAGGAACAATATTTCTCAACAGTCTGACGTATAATTATTATGTTAGTTTATTGTTATATTTTTCATTCCAAAAATGTGAACCCACCTGTTTTATATGTGATTTGTTGTATATTAGTAGATTTTTTTACTTTTATTAATATTTAGTTTTATATTGCAACAACAAAATTATTTATATTTATATAAATGATAAAATAAATTTATTGTTTCAGAATATGTTCTTTTTAATAAAAATTACATGTTATAAGTAATTTTTTACATTGCTGGAATATATTTGATTTTAAACTTACACTGACAGAATGATTGTTCCATTAAAAAAAGAACAAAAAGGCATTCATCAGTTGGAATTTTAAGATCTACATTATCTAAACACTGACAGAAAAACTATTTTGGGGTACATAAAATTTTACAATTTATGTTTTCTATTCACAAATTAAACGTAGTAGCCCATGTAAATTATTGGTTCAGTTTAGTATTTTGAGAAATCAGAGTAAAAGGGTATTTGGTACTGTCAATTCTTTTATATTCATGGGTACTGATTTTTGTGGAAATAAAACATTTTCATAGGTGTTCACAAACTAGCTGTATTGAGCTGTACATATGTAACACTCTCAAACATCTCCATCCACCAAACGTGTCCTATTTCTCCATACGTGTCTATTTTCCCCAAACGTGTCCTTCAAAATCCAAAATCACCCAAACATGTCTAATTTCACATCCACCAAACGTGCCCAATGATTGTTATTTGCCAAAATGTGTCCACTTTAAAAGCCAGAAAGTCTCAAAACTTTTAGCGCTAATACATGTATGTCCTCAGCAACATAAATTACATTTACAGTACATTCACTAAAGAGACATAAACAAGAGAAATAACTTTGATTTGATAAGCATCCCTGATACCAGCCCAATAATTTATAATCTTTAGAAAAACATGTATTACTTAAAGGTAACGTTAAAATACGTTAAAAACAGTATGCATGACTTGCAAGATGTGAATTTAAGTCATTTTAAATGTGCATCATCTTTTTAACTGTCATATTACTTTTAATTTAGAGGTAAAAATCGACTTACAGAAAATAATGGATTAACTGATTGTTGCTTGCTAAAAATTTTGTGGCAGTTATTTCATGCATATTTAGGACAAAAGATTGATTGATTGTTTGATGCTTAAAGTCCAGTGGCAAATATTTCATGCATGTTTAGGATTTCATCATATTAACAATAAATTCAATAGGTAGGACATGTATGGGTGGTTTTAAAATATGGACATCATTGAGCGTTCACAAAAAGGAGACATTTAGGCTTCAATTGGACACATTTTAGGGATTGGATACGTTTGGGTATTTTTAATAAAATGGACGTGATTGGGCGCCCTTTAGCAAATAGATATGTTTTTGACATTCAGTGACGTCATATGGACATGTTTGAGTTGATTGAAACATTTCTGAGTGTTACACATATATTCCAAAACTAGCTGTATTGAGCTTTACAGATGTTCACAAAATAGCTGCATTGAGCTGTATAGATGTTCACGAACTAGCTGTATTGAGCTGTATAGATGTTCACAAACTAACTGTATTGAGCTGTACACATGTTCACAAACTAGCTGTTTTGAGCTGTACACATGTTCACAAACTAGCTGTATTGAGCTGTACACATGTTCACAAACTCGCTGTATTGAGCTGAACAGATGTTTACAAACTAGCTGTATTGAGCTGTACAGATGTTCACAAACTAGCTGCATTGAGCTGTATAGATGTTCACAAACTAGCTGTATTGAGCTGTACACATGTTCACAAACTAGCTGTATTGAGCTGTACACATGTTCACAAACTAGCTGTATTAGCTGTACAGATGTTTACAAATTAGCTGTATTGAGCTGTACAGATGTTCACAAATAAGCTGTATTGAACTGTACAGATGTTTACAAATTAGCTGTATTGAGCTGTACACATGTTCACAAACTAGCTGTATTGAGCTTTATTAATTAACTACACTGTTATTGGACTTAATATGATGAAAACTGCCTATGCAATATAAAGGTGTCAACTCGGCCAATACAGAATAACTCGGCCAATATAGATTTTTTTTCTGTATTGGCCGAGTTCTGATCCGGCCAATACAGGATTTCGGAACGTCTCTAGTTTTTAGATCGATAGCCACGATAAACCTTACCTTACCTCTGTATCTTTAACCCCCTTTGTAGAGGAACCATACGCTAGTATGTAGAACTTGTGATCCGCAATTTCTATGTACAGTGATGCCTCCACCAATATGTTGCAGTGCTCTATATTTACAGTGAAATCCTACCCACACACTTATATTAAAAATCCTTTGTTTTATAATTAAAATGTTTCTGTGCCTATCATACGGTGGTTAAAAGTCAGTCACTATATAATATAAAATTCCTTTCTTTCTTTATATATATATACACGCATGTTACACATTTGTTTTCGGTTCCCCTAACCGTTTTGTGTACGTAGCTAGATATGCTTTAAAAGTATAACTCATTTCTGTAAGATATCAATAACATTATTCCATAAAATCCGCCATTTGTTTTCCTATCACGGTAAGATGATAAAAGAATGAGTGCCTCTTCCTCATGATTTAAAAGATATATAGTAAAGTATTGTCTAAAAGTTATATTCGGTTCTTCTAAAAAGTCCTTTATATAATCCATATATTGCTTAAAATTCTGTTGGCTATATATAATTTAAGATAATTTCGATATAAGATCGCACACTTTAGTAAAGTGTCACCACTAGTATGTATATATGATAAAATAGGTTCATTATGTTACACTCTGTAAATTGACTAGTATATATGAGTTTTGTGGCTAAGGTATTGTTTCTTCTGTTATGGTAGTGGTTAGCTTTTCCTTTTAAAGTTATTATCCTTATTATTATCAACCGCATACTATCTTATAACGGGCTATATGTAGCTGGTATATCAAGCGTCAACACAAACTGAAAGTAAACAGTTGTTTGGAAGACGCAGTTTTCATTTACTCACCATAAACAAGCTGAAACGTTCAGTATGGCATATATTTCAGGCTTAAGACGGTCACATTCATTTAAAAAAGCATTTTGAAAGCAGACTATGGAATTATTTCAGGTTTGGGAAACGAGTAGATTATCACAAAGTTCATTTCTTGTCGACCTCATAATTTCACGATGGTACAAATCGATTTACTGTTTACTTTCGCTTCTCATGTTTTGTAAACTGTCATTTATTTTTAAACCCGAACCAGGCATATGCATTCTGGAAGGGTGACCTGTAATTGTGCAAATCTTCGTTCTTTGGTCAGTTGGCTTATGGATAGTTGTATCATTTTCAACTCCTACATTATTTTTTCAGTTTGTTTCTGCATAACACATGCAATGGCAGTACCTTTCCAATTACTATTTATGTGTTGTGTCTAAATTTAAATTGTAACACTTTATAGTGACTGGAAAGGGTAGAAAAATTCATCAGATGAGAAAATGCTGAAGACACCTGGAAACGACACCAGATCATTAGATAGAGCATCTTATAAAAAGAAACTGAGATTTGGATAGTTCCACTTCAAAGTTCAAGGTAAAAATGTTTATCTCTTGTGAAATGAAATAAAAAAAATATTGTAACACTGTAGTTAATTAATAAAGATACTATTACGTGTATTTCTGTATTGGCCTTGTTATTGGTCCTTGGCCAGCTGTATTGGCCTTCGGCTTCGCCTCAGGCCAATACAGCAAGCCTCGGACCAATAACAAGGCCAATACAGAAATACTCACGTAATAATATCATAGTACACATGTTCACAAACTCGCTGTATTGAGCTAAACAGATGTTTACAAACTAGCTCTATTGAACTGAACAGATGTTCACAAACTAGCTGCATTGAGCTGTATAGATGTTCACAAACTAGCTGTATTGAGCTGTACACATGTTCACAAACTAGCTGTATTGAGCTGTACACATGTTCAAAAACTAGCTGTATTGAGCTGTACACATGTTCACAAACTATCTGTATTGAGCTGTACAGATGTTCACAAACTAGCTGTACAGATGTTTACAAATTAGCTGTATTGAGCTGTACAGATGTTCACAAATTAGCTGTATTGAGCTGTACAGATGTTTACAAATTAGCTGTATTGAGCTGTACACATGTTCACAAGCTAGCTGTATTGAGCTGAACAGATGTTTACAAACTAGCTCTATTGAACTGAACAGATGTTCACAAACTAGCTGCATTGAGCTGTATAGATGTTCACAAACTAGCTGTATTGAGCTGTACACATGTTCACAAACTAGCTATATTGAGCTGTACACATGTTCACAAACTAGCTCACTGCAGTGTTCTCCCCAGGCCGATATGACGCTGCGGTGCCGCAGCGCCTTCATAATATTTTTGTAAATCCCGCAGCGTCTTAATTGGCCGCTGTCCCTTGATACTTGATCCCGCAGCGTGTTAATTTTCACATTTTCATTATAAATGTTGGTTAAAATTGTCAAGTTACTGATCACCGCTGATGGGTCGGTCAGTGTTACGCAATAACTGATAATTAGTTTTACCTGAGCCACGCTTATCGCAGCCTTATCGGACTATGTTATCAGGTAATAGCTTAAATGATCATCAAGAAGATAGATATTTTTTGAAGAAAATTAAAAATTTTAAAAACTTCAGTGCAGAAATTGAAGAAATAGATCGCAAATACATTGTATTTACGCATCGTGTGTGTGATCACTTGACCATTTATATAACGAATTTTTTCATTGGTCTAGAAGAAGAATCTATTTAAACACGACCAATGAACGTGTTGAATACACATGATAAATTTGAATACACATTGCTAAAGATATTTACGATGAAAACTATGAATGAAAGTATTAGTAGTTGAAAAAATTAAAATAAAGTTTGATTAAAGATAACGAGGAGTGATTTACTTTAATAGAAAGTGAAAAAATGTTGCTTGCAAGGTAAATTCGTCTGAAACTGTCATATTTTTAGAGATAAAATGATCATTGAACATCGATCGTGAATCCGTGCGTCGGGAAATATGTGACAATCAACACGGGTACAGAATCGCCGCAGCTTCTGTATAATGTCACTGGTAAATAATTTCAATGGTTTTAACTTTAACGAATTTGTAAAGTTTCGTTTATATCTATCTGCCAAAGATAGGATTAAACAATAATACGCACGGAAGCGTAATGTGAAACTACGGAAACTGG